CTTGATCTCATGACCCTGAGATCAGGACCTGAGCTCAAACTAAGAGTCAGATGCTTAACTGACTGCCACCCAGGCACCCCACAGATACTATTAAATTGCAAGTCTTCTATCCAGAGAACCCTAGAGAACTGTAACAAAGCAGAAAGAATAAAAAATATAAGGACAGATTCTTCCCATAAGTTTCTGTGCTAAAAAAGAGATCAGAAAGATAGGCAAAACTTCAAAAACGAATCTAAATTAAAGAAGGAGATTGGGCGCCTGGGTGGCTCAGCCACTGAATATCACACTCTTGGTTTCGGCTCAGGTTGTGATCTCGGGGTCGTGGGATCGAGCCCCGCACTCGGCTCTGTGCTCAGTGTGGAGTCTGCTTGAGATTCTCTCCCTCTTCCCCCCCCCACTGCCCCTCCCCCAACTGTGTGTGCACACACGCTCTCTCTCTCTCAAATAAACAAAATCTTAAAAAAAAAATTAAAGGAGCTATAGTCTCCGTCTGCCCCTCCCCCTGCTTACCTGCTCACTCTAAAATAAATACATCTTTTTTTAAAAAAAGGAGCTATAGAAAGCTAGCTAAACTTTTACCTGTTCAGGTAACTAATGATTTAAGCTTATAAGCTGCTAACATCCTAGATATGCTCTAAATGAATTTTTATTTCTTCTGCATTTTAGTTTTAAATAATACTTACACCGACATTGCTTTTCCCAACATCTTTCTAATATTCCAAGTGACCCTATATACCATTCTGGCCTCCTAATGACTCAAACCAAAAAAATGAAAGTGCACTTGCCCACCTGTGTGACATCATCTCCAAAAGCACATTACCATTGAGAATACCCAGTAAGGAGAAAAATCTCTGGGGATGATACTTTTGGCCACAAACATTAAACAAGATTATTGGAAAACTAGAGGAACAACCGTTAGCCACCACAATTATGGACTGGGGTGATAATCTGGGTGATCACGACATGCATGGAAACCTAAGCTTAATGAACTAGAAGACAGTCCAGCACAGTGGGTTCCTTAACTTCTGAGTCCACTTTCTCATCTATAAAATGAGGGCTCATAGGGCCCCTGCGAAGAATCCAGTGAGATCAGGCATGCAAAGCTCTTTGAACAGCATCTGATACAAAGTTAGGCATCCAATAAATGGCTGCAGCTGGCGTGAGTCATCTTTATTATAAATAATTTACCTGGGCAGCCTTGGCAAACGTTGGCCCGTGATAATGGCCACCAATGCGTAACACATCCTCTGTACAGTAAAAAAACTCAGAGAAACCGTAGAACTCGCTGTTGTTGAAGTCAATTGGTGACTGGTAGATGCCATTCAGCGAGGCCTGGCTGGTGTTGGAGCGAGCCAGCAGGGGGCTCAGCATCGCCCCACAAGACGCCCAGTCTCCTCTTCCTCGGATGTGCAGCACCTGGCTATTCCTCTCCACCACATCTGTGAGGCCCACAGGCAGGCAGGGATCCAGAAGTGGATTGTCTGGACTCAGACCAGTCTTCTGGCCCAGCAACCTGTCACAGTGACAAAAACACACAAAACACTTCACTGATGTACTCACCCTCTTCTAAGAAACGCCTAGTTTAAGAAACTTGGTCTAAGAATGTGCTTCACAGATTATCTTGTTGTTTTACATGGCATCCCTAGAAACAAGAATGGAGTTTTAGCATCAGTCGTAACATCAAAATTTACCTTAAGCAAATTCAATTTAGTGGAAGGAAGGAAGGAAGGAAGGAAGGAAGGAAGGAAGGAAGGAAGGAAGGAAGGGAAGGAGAGAATTATGGCAGTGATCAAATTTTGTCCAACTGTTCAGTCCACATGTACATCTCCCAGTGCAGAGTGAAACTGGAAATGTTAATCTGCGGGTATCAGTCTAGTCTTCATTCCCACTGGTCTCTTAAAAGTGTCAAGATCTCACCACACCGAGTGCAGTTCTAACGTTTACCAAAACCCTGGGAGGAGGTGAAGAAGGAAGGCCTGGGAGAGGCTCCTGAGGAGGGGACCTTGTCGGTGGTGCAGTAACAACTGCTGGCAATAGGAAGGACATGCCTGGCCCCTCGCAGGGAAGGGGGGGAGGGGCAGGTTCTCATCCGCACTGTAGCCGTCACACAGTTCTGGCTGTTTCAAGTCAGCACTTTGCCCAGCAACAAAATTCCCATTCCTAAGGGGATGAAATACAGATCTGGCTGAGAACAGAAATTAAGTGGAGACCAAATAATGTTGCCGACCACGGTTAATTATTCACCAGTTTCTGAAGAGACCCATGTTGAAGAGTGGACTTTCTGGGACGAAGATGCCCCCACAAGGGTAAAGACTGAAGGAGGGAGTGGGAATGTGGCAACACCACAAAATGCTTTGGAATGACTGGAACTTATTTTAAGGATGTGACACCAACTATGGAAAAAACAAAACAAAACAACCTCAGAAAATCATATTAAGAAGAAAGAACCAGGGGCGCCTGGGTGGCTCAGTCGGTTGAGCATCCGACTCTTGATTTTGGCTCAAGTCATGATCTCAGGGTCATGAGATCGAGCCCCACATCAGGCTCTGCACTGGGCATGAGGCCTGCTTGAGATTCTCTCTCTCCCTCCCCCCCTACCTCCACCCCTGTTCGCTCTCTCGCTTTCTCTTAAAAAAAAAGAAGAAGAAGAAGAGGAAGGAACTATTATGTTCTGACATCCCAGGAAGCACAGGTTTCTCTAGTGGATTAGAAGCTACACGAGTGAAGACTAAATCTTCTGAATTAGGAACTTAGAAACATGGCAAGAAAATACCAGTGCATGGCAGGATGATGATGCAGCCTGGCAAGTTCTGAGCAGAAAACAGCAAAGAGAAAAGGGCAGCAGAACAACAAAGGAAGGAAATGGAAAAGGAGGCACAGCAGCTAACAAAGAAGGACCACAACAAAATTGGTGTGAAACCCTCATAACCGTCCTCCAGATGCTGCGGTGCCGGCATCCCAAGCGACAGGAATACAAATGTGGAGTATTTTCAGAATGCAAACCCACGGACTGATTTTAATGCATTCATCAGTCATCTGTGGTAACAGAATTCTCCCAAAATACTGTGAACTCTTGGCAGTTGAGACTCGCAAAAGCAAAAAAGAATTATGAGACAGTATTTTCTTTAACAAGGTCCCAATATAAGACAACTGCTGTGGAGAAGTTATTATAAATAGGCTATACTGGTACTTCTTCCACCTAGTGTTTCTAGCAAAACAAATGGGGGTAAATAATTTTATGGTGAAAAAAACTCTGCTGTCTGTTATGCTTCCTTCGATGCACATAATGATACAATAATTTTAAATAATAAAAAAAAAATCTCACAACTATTTGTACATTACGGCCTAAATACTTCACGGGATACTCAAATGAAGAGTCTGTGATCTGTCCGTGCTGCAGAGCAAACTGGCTGTTCTGGACTTAATGAGAGAACAATGTAAAGGTTAATTCTGACTTCACATGCTTTTTATTCTTTTATGTACACTATGGACCTCACTCCCACATAAGATGCAACTCCACTGTAATTCAACAAATATGTCTTCCATGTAGAGGGAACTGCTAAGAGCTACATTACACTGCACATTGTAAATGAAGAACTTAATCTCACTGGGGCACCTGGGTGGCTCAGTCAGTTAAGCGTCTGCCTTCAGCTCAGGTCATGATCCCAGGATCCTGGGATCGAGCCTCCTGCTTCTCCTTCTCTCTCTGCCTGCCGCTCCCCCTGCTTGTGCTTGCTCTCTAATAAGTTTTTAAAAAATTCTTAAAAAAAAAAGGAACTTAATTTCATTTATCCTATGATACCATTTCTGAAACAGGACACTGCAAGAGGTCCTAATAAGCTGCTAAACTTTTTTGGGTCTGACCAGAATGCATCCTCACCTAGATCGAGTGGGACTACTAATAGAGGGTCTCTAAGCAATGCTACCCCATTGGCAGGAGTGGTTAGGAAGAAGGAGGAAGCAAGGACATATCTATCATAGTAGGACAGGAGTATTTCTTCCTAGTATCTGCACGCTGACGACCTTCTATTTCAGAGGCACAGATGCCCACGACAGACATACCTATTTTTGGTAAGGGTTTCATTCAGCACAAGGTCTTCATAGCGCTGCCGGGCAAAGTTGCCCCCAAAACCCAGGAAGGTCGTGACATAAACCCTATACACGTGTTCAGTATGTTGCACATCACAGCCCAGGTTGAATTCAGCCAGCAGGATCTTTGCTTCTTCTTCCTATAATACAATGTAAAGCGAAAAAAGGGAATTTTAGTTTTGGCTGACTGACAGAAAGCTATGACATCACTAATACACCAGTCTTCATGTGCTATAACTACTTTTTAAGATATCTTACAGCATTCTCTCATTCTTATAGCATTATTTTCAACAAAGACACAAAGTGACAAGCCTACATAAAACAGTACAGAGACTAAATACCGAATTAGAGACTACAACACTATCTGTAGTTCTACAGAAGGTAGAATCATTATTACAGATGATATCATTTTCTTGCACATATTTTTCTGATTTTCCAATCCTCCAAAATGAGAATGTACTATTTTTATCATCAGGAAAAAAAAAATCCTTTGATAAAAATAAATTTAAGGAATTTGGGAGATCATTATGAGACCTATTCTATGGGTTTTTCTAAAACTATTCAAGAAGATCTAATGTTCCCTATGACAGGGACTGGGATTGGGAAAGTTCCGTTTTACTGGACCTCCAATGAAAAGGGGCTCTATTTTTTTTTTAACTTCAGGTACATGGGTTGAATTAATCACACTCCTCAGTTCATGGTACATTATTATGGCAAAGCCCCATTTTTGTTTTATTTATTTACTTCCTTTTATCTTCATATCCATTCCCATTCCCACTCCCCACAGGCAACCATTCTAATGTGCTTCAATGTGTAATGTATGTTTGTACATACTGTTGTAAAATGAAATTATTGTTTTGAATGTATTTGTTTTTAATTTATGAAGATGCTATGGTGCCCAGAAATTTCACTAAGTATATACACAAGAGGAGTGAAAACTATGACTAATCAAACATGTGTATGTGAATGTTCACAGCAGCATTATTCATAATAGCCCAAAAACTGGAAATAAAATCCAGAAGTCCATCAACTGATGAATGGATAAACAAAATGTGGCATGGTCATATAAAGGAATATTATTCAGCCATGAAGAGAAATGAAGGACTGACATGTGCTATAACAGAGATGAACCCTGAAAACATTTTGCTAAGTGAAAGAAGCAGACACAAGATGTCACATATTGTATGATTCCATTTATGTGAAATACTAAGAACAGGCAAATCCACAGGAGACGTGAAGCAGATTTTTTTTTTTTAATTTTATTTATTTGAGAGAGAGCGAGTGAGAGAGAGAGAGAGAGAGCACAAATGGGGAGGGGGGAGCAGGGAGAGGGAGAAGCAGGCTCCCCGACGAGCAGGGAGCCCGATGCGGGGCTCGATCCCAGGACCCTGGGATCAGGACCTGAGCCGAAGGCAGATGCTTAACCAACTGAGCCACCCAGATGCCCCAGTGAAGCAGATTATTGGCTGTCAGGGCTACAAGGAGAGAATGGCAAGTGACTACTAATGAATGCGGGGTTTCTTTGGGCATAATAAACACATTCTAGAATTCAATAGTGGTGGTTGGGTTACTTTGTGAATGTGCGCAACTTTGTGAATTGTACAAAAAAACCACTTTGGGCATTGAGGATTATTTATATTTTGTAAAGTGCTATTGTGTTATGTCTCATTGTTCTTTTCCTTCTTTACCAAGCACTGAGATCCACCTTTAAGATCATTATACTGCTATGCATACATCTAATTTGTTGCTTGCAAATATACTTTCTACACCAGTGTCACTTTCTAAATCTACACAAACAAAAAAGTCATTTGTTTAAGACTTTAAGGATCAGTGCCACTCACCGGAACCATGGCCTTCAGTTTACCTGTTGACGACATACTAGCAAATATAGACTAAAATTAAAATGCCTTACAACCTAGTTCCCCAAATTTCCAAACCTTGCACAGACCCCTGCTGATTGTCAAATCCACATTTTCAACAATCTTGCTGGATATTTAAACACATATGTTCCTCAGATATTTCAAATTCAACATACTCAAAACTGAACTCACTGGTCGCGGGACTTGGGCTAGAGATTAGAAAGTCGCTCTCACCCAAACCACCAGACCATACTGATTTGCTTAGCATCAACCCACCCTTTATCCTGGGGTCTCTCTCAGTAGCTGGGTTCCTTACCCTACCAGGTACCTAGGAGGGAACCTCAGCATCACTGGCCATCCTTCCCTGTCCTACCCACACCATTATATTACATTGTTTTTTTAAATTCCAAATCCTTGAAATCTGTCCTCTCCACTCCATTTCCACTTACATTGCCTAGTTTAGCCCTTATTACTTCTCACCCAAGGTTCCCTGACCTACATTTCTTTCTCCAATATCACCAAAATTATTTTCCTAAAAAATCAGTTAGATCAGTCACACAATACAGAGCTGAAAAGGACCTTAGGAGTTTAATTACTTCACAGATGATGAAATGAGGTCCAAACCTTTGCTAATTCTCCTCCATTTATAGATATAAAAGTGAAATTCCCTAGCGTGGCACCTAAGACTCCTCACCATCTACCTTCATCTTATCTTCCTAGACTTAGCTATACTACACTGGAAAATCATATACTGCAACAAGCTATTCACCATTCCCTGGACGTTCTGGGCTCTTCGCTGCTTCTTTTGTGCCCTTGTGTATACTGTTGCCTCCATACAGGTGGCCTTCCTCCACCTCCACTATGCAAAAGCCTACTATCATCCAAAACCCAGGTAACAAGCCAGGATGACTCCCATTCATGGAGCAGGTGACATGGGGTGGGGACATTACTGGCATCTGGTAGAGGCCTGAGATGCTGCTAAACATCATATTATGCATGGGACAGCTACAATAAAATGTCAATAGTGCCAATGATGAGAAACTCTGGTTTAGATCAAATGATAGCACTGTCATGGTCTGCCTGTTATCACAGGCTATCTTCACTGATAGATTATAAGCTTTTGGGGGCAGTATGTCTTATTCCTTGCGCATACTAGGTGCTTAAAAACTGTCTGCATTTCTTTTTCCTCTCTATGATAAAACTTCTCCTTCGAGATACATTCTTTACACTCTAGTCAGGTACGGAATATTAGAAGCACAAGAATGGAATCATAAGCAAGGGAAAGGAAATAACATTTAACAGACAAGTATGTATCAAATACTGTACTCTGGGATTTATATGGATTATCATGTTTAATCTTCAGGCAGCCCTAGGAGTCGGGGAGTATAATTATAATTGCTAAAATTATTAAACACTTATCACATACTGGGAAGTTTGTAAAGTGCTTTACACACATGGTGTCATTTCATCCTCCCAAGTTTATGAAGTAGATATTATTATTATTCGCTTTTTATTTTATATATGAGGAAATTAAGGCTCAGAGAGGTGACCTACCCAAGATAATATAAGCTAGCAAGTATCTCAACAAATATTTGGACCCAGGAAAGTTGGTCTAAGTCCAAAGACAGTGACCTTCTTCTCAAATACTGGCATTTCTAGCAATTGAATTTCCCTAAAAGGTAAAATACCTGTTTTGGAGGAAGGACAGAGGTTGAGGTAGGAACTTCATAAGCAATTTGAAGAGAGGCTCCTCCCATATCCAGTATCCCTACTGTCCTTCTGCGCCCTGCTGCCAATTCCTGGGGAGCCTCAGCATCGGATTCTGAAATAAATAAGGGAACAGAAAGGATCTAGTAATTAAAAAACAAAATTAAATCAAAAAGAAAAAAAAAAAACAGAACAGAAATCCCTTAAAAAATGAAAAACAAACTGAAATAAATTAATCTAATAATATCACCTATATATTAGAGAATTCTTTTTTTTTTTAAAGATTTTATTTATTTATTTGACAGAGAGAGACACAGCGAGAGAGGGAACACAAGCAGGGGGAGTTGGAGAGGGAGAAGCAGGCTTCCCACTGAGCAGGGGGCCTGATGCGGGGTTCGATCCCAGGACCCTGGATCATGACCTGAGCCGAAGGCAGACACTTAACGACTGAGCCACCCAGGCACCCTTATAAAGAATTCTTTTATAACTTAAAACAGTAACTTAAAACATAGCATTTTTACTATATCCCTTATAGAATGTATTTTAATGACAATAGAAGCAAATAGCTATCTTAAACTGCATTTCAGTAGTCTTATTGATAATGATTTTATTAGTAAATTAAGCATATATTATGAAATAAAGCAAATGTTTATATTAATATCTTTAGAAACATAATCAGCATAAAAGAAAAAACATGTAAGTATAAAATCAAAGATAAGCAATAACCTTATAATTTTAAGTATGAATTGGAACTATCACTATGAAATCATGATTTATTTTTCTCTTTCTAAAAATACATTTTTTCTAGCTCTGTTCACTGAAAGGGCCTAGGAGCAAGGATAATCCAGGAGCAATGAACACCCCTGGCATCCACAGTCACTAAATATCATTTTTCAATAAAAGAAACCAGGGCTCCTTAAAAAGTAGCTGATGCTAGGTCTAAGGTAGAAAGAATACAAGATGAGCATGGAATACCTTAGTATACCAAAAAGCAAGGGAAATAGACTACAAGACTACTGTGATGTTAAAAGGTACAGGAGCCAACTTAAAGGTGCTCCTACTGGCCAATGATGGTATAATTTGAACACTGAAAAGAATAATGATGTGATGGACTATGATGCATCAAACACATTAAAATCTATAAATTAGAGTAAGAAACTGATCAATCAAACATAACATGTGATCCTCAACCAGATTCTAATTTTAACAAGACAACTACAAATAAATATTCTTGAGACAATAAGGGAAGTCTTTACCTGGGTAGATGGATGTTACATAATATTAGAAATTGTTAACTTTTTTAAGTTTAAAAATGCCATTGCATATATTTCATTTGTTTTGAAACTCCTCATTGGTGAGAGATATACACTGAAGTACATGAAGATAAAATGATATGTTTGGGGTTTGCTTTTAAAAATCCAATAGGAGGGGCACCTGGGTGGCTCAGTCAGTTAAGCGTCTAACTCTTGGTTTTGGCTCGGTCATGATCTCATGGGTCCTGAGATCGAGTCCCATGTTGGGCTCCATGCTCAGCGGGGAGTCTGCCTGAGATTCTCTTCCTCGGCCCCTCTCCCCACTCGCACTCTCTAGCTCTCACTCACAATAAATAAATAAATAAATATTTTTAAAAAAATCTAATAGGAAAAAAAACCCTATGCTGTATGGAGGGAGTGTGGGGCAAAAAAACTGGTCAATCACTAATTAGTGTTGAGTCTGGGTACTGGGTTCATGGAGATTCATTTTATTGTTTACTCTACTTCTGTGAATGTTTGCAACTTTCCATATTAAAAAGTTAAAAAGAAATAAAAGAAGGCAAATTAGGACTGGAAAATGAAGCATCTTAAAAGGGTTTTAAAAAGCTAAAGAAAGAAAGAAAAACAACTCAAACATAGCACTTATGTTCTACTGATAGGTTACAACATAAACCTTCAGCGCTTAGAACTCTCATAAGATGACAGCATTACTCACCATCCTCATGGTCGAATCTTCCCAAAACAAAGTTGATTCCAATCCATGCATAAACTCCTAAGTAAGAAATATGAAAGTCCTTGCTTAATTCTCTATTGCTATGCCATGTCTACACCTCTTCCCAGGGCCGCTCTTTTCCTCCTTTCCTTAGAAAAAGGTGATGAGAGTATTTTATTCCACACTCTCAGTGTATGAATTTAAAATCTCTTATCTTATGATGCTTTTCCCTTTAAAATGATTTACATTGTCTAAATTTCCTACAGATGATTATGGATTAATGTATAAGAACAAATGGTAAAAAAATGTGAATCTTGGGAGTTCTGGTTCTGGGCAAGATGGAGTAAGCACACTCCATCCTGTCTCCCCACTGAATACAAATGTAAACTCTGGACGGAATGTATGGAGCACATTTGTGAGACCTCTGAAAGGAAATGATAATGGGCACACTGAAACAGAGATGAGAAGTTAAAGTACCACCAAACTGGTAGTGAATTCTCCATTTTCCTCCCCAGGTATCGCCTGGCCTGGACTCAAAAGCAGCTTGAAACACAAAAGGACATACAGGTGTGGTGAGAAAGAAATTCAAGACCTTGCTTTCTGGTCCAAGAAGCATTAAAAGGGACTCCAAAGGCTCAGAAAGAATGGAGGGAAATCTCTTGAGTTTTTTTCCCTTTATTTTGTTCTCTGCTACACCAGGCAATCCTGCAGGGGTAGAGGCAAAGGTTGGGCAGGTACCTAAAACTCTGAAGGACATGAATCCTTTCTCTGACTAGAGGAGCCTTAAGAGTTGGAGAAAATCCCTATTGCTTATTTTTCTCCCTCTGTCCCCTACCATTTAGCCCTGGATACAGATGCAATCATGGGAAATGCACGGCAGAGCAGGTAAATTTAAGTCCTGGCTTTCTGACTGGAGGAGTAAGCCCCAGGGAACCAGAAAGTATTGGGGAGATTATAGAGAGTAAGGAATAAAATAGTATATCAACTCCTGGGCTCATAACCAAGCTACACATGCATGGATCTCACTCTGAACAATATACCAAAGGTTCTGAGAACTGAACTATTGGCTAGACAACCCATTTTGTATGGGCTATGCCCAGGTTCTATATTGGCCACTGGGTATCACACAAATGGGACAAATCCAAATTGCAGTGCCAAGGTTCTGAAAAATGAATCAACAGAATCACAGCCAACAGAAGGCAGGTCAGAACTTGAGGCATAAGCCTAACCAGGTCAACTCCCTACTAAATCAAATAATCAATATTCTCCTTATGATTGAAAAAAGACCCAGAGTCTCATAATGTAATATTCAAGATGTTCAGGATACAATATAAAATTACTTGGCATAAAAAGAACTAGGAAATTCTCAACTTATAAGGGAAAAGATACCAACCCCAAGAAGACACAGATGTCAGAATTATCAGACAAAGATATTAAAGCAGCTATATAATCAAGAAATAAGAGCAGTCCTAGCATGAATGGAAGATAGACAGTTTCAGCAAAGAAATAGGATATAAAAAAGAACCAAATGAAAATTCTAGGGCTGAAAAATGCAATATTGAAATTGAAAAAGGTAAATCTTTTCCCTTATGTGAACTGTAACTAGAATGCATGGATTTTCTCTTTTTCAAGAAATGGAAACATAATTTGTCATACAGGCCACATTTGGGCCACATGAGAACACATATTCAACTCCACTCCCAAAGTGCAAGCTTTTAGGGAAGTATCAGTACTGCACAGTAAAATGCAATAAAGGGAGAGCCTGTAACAAAAGAAAAGTAAGTAGTGATCATCCCGATCACCCCCTAAAATTAAAGTTTCCCCTTACTTTAATAATTTACTTTACATTTGAATTTGGCAAACTCAGTAGACCTCAGAGAAGTATGTATGATTTCAAAACTAAAATTAACTAACCAAATATCCATTTGGAATCATCACTAAATACTAACACATTCTTATAAACATAGTACCTAGCACAAAGTTAAAAACAAATATAAACATAGGACTTCTAGAAAGCAGCATTCTTCTTTTTCCATTTTTTAAAAATTTAAATTCAATTAATTAACATACAGAGTATTAGTTTCAGAGGCAGAGTTCGTGATTCATCAGTCGTATGTAACACCCAGTGCTCATTGCATCACATGCCCTCCTTAAGGTCCATCACCCAGTCACTCCATGCCCCACCCCCCTCCCCTCTAAAAGCAGACTCTAAAACAGATACCAATGCAGAATATGCAAATAATAATTAAAAAAAACTATACAGCAGAATTAAGAAAATTATTCGAAGAAAAATAAAAATCAAATATATAAAGTTATCCTAAACTCCCGCCAGAGAGACTATGGCACAGTTGGCTGGGAGCCAAACCAGTGTGCCCCTCGAGGCCCAGTACCTTCCTGCTTCCCAGAGATCACTTCTGCCTGAGACTGGGAAAAGAGGAAGTCAAACTCCAGCGGTATATCTCTCACTAGATCAGCCAAGATGGCCAGCTGCTTTCTGCAAGAAAAAAAAATACATAAAAGTTAATCGTTAAACACTCGTTTCACAATTAGCTTCAACTTGACCTTCTACTCAGACTTGTTATGACTCACTGCTCATATAGCCCATCCACCAGCTGAGCCCTGCTTCTTTTTGGTACCTCCTTTGATTTCAAAGGTTTAAACTGCCTCCAAAGTACATCCTCCTACTTAAAGGGCAATATGGTACTATTAATACTTCCCTTTTTATAATTTTACAATTCAAATAGCGTTAAAAGATGAGACCATGGTTCTGTGCCTCTCACAGGCTGAATATGTATAAGTGGCAGGAAGCTCGGTTTCATAATTACACGATTCCTAACTACTGTGAAGGGAAGCTGTTAGACTGAGGAACACAATCTCATCTTCAGATCTTACACAATACAGAAACAACGCCTCATGTCACCACACAACAAGCACTGTTAGGTCCACAAGTTTTTAATAATCCTTTACACAAGCTGACAATGAACTTTTTAATCTCCTTTTATATATTTCAAGGGTTGGGATTTTTTTCCTTTATAAAAATCATATCATTTGAAAAACCCAGATCAGGAGAAAAATCCAAAGGTTATAACAATTTGGGGACAAAGTTTGAGTCTTAGTATCTAGGGTTGTTTTCTCCTCTACAGTTTTGTGTTATCAGTGTTATTAAAGAAAAGCAAAGAAACAAAGCTAGAAGTAATAATATGAATCTAGAGAAAACGGTGAAAAATAAGAGCAATTATCCTGGGTTTTTTAAATTACTCATTACAAAAATATTGGCTCAGATAGTTGTCGGCATGACTTAATGGAGAATGTTAACACTTAAAATTGTGAAGAATACATTTAAAGTAATAATTTCCCAGGGGCGCCTGGGTGGCTCAGCCGTTAAGCGTCTGCCTTCGGCTCGGGTCATGATCCCGGGGTCCTGGGATTGAGCCCCGCATCGGGCTCCCTGCTCAGCGGAGAGCCTGCTTCTCCCTCTCCCACTCCCCCTGCTTGTTTTTCCTCTCTCGCTGTGTCTCTCACTGTCAAATAAATAAATAAAAAAAATAAAGTAATAATTTCCCAGTATACTGTCAAGTACAGTTTCCAAAAAAGCTCACTGTTATACATATTAATTTCTTGCAATAAGAATTTTGTATGTGGAACAAGAGGGACTGTTTTGCCCTCCCTATTGGATATGCTTCTAAAATACCCAAAGAAGAGGGCTTGCTGGTTTTGGTGATGATATGGAAGAACAGGCGCCAACATACGCTGCTGTATGGAATATAAATTACTGGTATGATCTTTCTAAGAGCAATCCAGGACTATGTATCCACATTTTTAATGTGCTTAACCTTTGACCAGCTATTACACTTGTAGAAATTTATTGCAAGGAAATCATCAGATGAGAATACAAAAAGGAAGAGAATATTGCAGCACTACTGATAACAATGAAAAAGTGAAAATAACCTAAATGCACATCATTAGGTATTGATTAAATAATCTGTGGTATATCCATACAATGTGATACTAGACAGATGTTAAAAGAAATGAGGTCAATATAGATCTATATGCATTGACCTGAAAAGATGTCTGATATATTCTGAGTTTTTTTTTTTTTTTTTTTTGCGAGAGAGAGAATGAGAGAGAGCACGAGAGGGAGGAGGGTCAGAGGGAGAAGCAGACTCCCTGCTGAGCAGGGAGCCCGATGTGGGAC